ATTAAAGCACCTGCAGGCAGGTACAGGGGCTGGGGTTCAAGCCTCAGGACTGCTGTGCCGGCCCTGCCCCTGGAGTGCACTGAGATAGCAATTGAGACTGGGTGTGGTGGCGCGTGCCTGTAATCCCAGCTCTTGGGAGGCTGTAAATAGGCAGATCACTATGAGTCCGATCTAGTAGTGAGACCCTGAACACCATGTAGAACCTTCCTTAAAGTGCACCCAAAAAAAAAAAAATTCCATAGGGTTCAGATATCTGTAGATCAAATTTCAGAAAAGTGAAGAGACAAAGTCCAAGAGTGAGTGAGGCCAGGAAAAACAATAATGTGGCCCAAAGTGCTTTGAAAAGGAAGAAATAGGTTGCAATTTTGGATAGGAACAACTGACTTCAGTTCTCACTGGTACAACAATACAGGATATATCACAATGTCACCAGGTAGAAATAACTAATAATATTAAAGGTGCTAAAATGCATTAAATTATTTTCATGAAGTCTATATTTTGTCTAAAATACTGTGTCTTACATGCAACATATATTAATGTATCATTTAGTGCTTATATCATAGAACTGAAAATTTCATTTTTGTCCCAAAGTAACTTGTTAAAATTTGTATGTTTAAACATATATAGGTGGAATACGATCTTGGCTAAGATATTGTAATAATGTCTTCCTATAAATGAACTACACTTAGTTGAAAAGTGATTCAATCACTGAAGTACAGTGGTACCTCATTTCATGAATGCTTTTGTTTGAAAACAATTTTATTTGCAAACAGAATCATTGGGAAAACTTTTTGTTTGCAAACTTTACATCAGGTGACAAATGAAACCACAACACTTTTACCAAAGAAACACAAACAGTCATCTTTTCCAAAACCATAGAATAAATTATGTTCATGAACCGAGGTTCCACTGTACCCTCAAAGAGCAAAAGAAATCAGGTGAGAAACAGTGTTTGCTTTTACTATGGTAAAATAAAAATACACACTAAAAAAGCAAAAAGAGAAGTTACATCTTGCTCACAACCAAATCACTTTACTACTAACAACTGACTGAAGGTGGGGGCATAAATAGATATTTCAGAAAAGAGTTCCATGAAGACGGTAGAATGTTAAATAGCAGGAAATCAGTTTCTCTCAGATTTCAATCCAGACATTAGAATATAACAACCTCGGGAAGAATCAGACAAAGATGGATCCCTAGGACAAGGGAAAAATCTGAAGGGTGAGTTGGAGCCCACAGAAAAAGTGAAAAGGTAGACATCAACACAGAAAAAAGAAGTGCAAAACTGTACTTTCTCCCTAACTCCCAGTTTCTGGTGTGAGAGAGGATGATCAAATCTACAGAGGCACAATGAAGGCAGATGACTCCAGAAGCCTTGAGGGACAAAGAAACCAGTGGAACAAAGCTGTAGATGCTGTGAACTACAATAGCTGGCAACTACTGTGTTCCCTGGAGAGCATGCTTAGCTAGATACCATTTTAGGGAGGAGCCAACTGAATTAAGAACTCTGAGCAACGAATGTTTGGCTTCATCAATAATAAGAAGTGAAATAAAATTGAATCAATAATTAAAAGTCTCCTGTCAAGGAATATTTCTGGATCAGACAGCTTCATTTCTGGTTTGTATCAAGTGTTTCAAGAAGAATTAATACAAATTCTCCTTAAGCTATTCCAAAAACGGAAAGAAGAAGGAATTCTTCCAAATATATTTGAAAATGAAAAAATCACCCCAACACCAAAACCAAAACCAGATAAAGAAAAACACAAAAAAATCAAAATAACAAGCCCAGATAACTGATGAACATAGAGGGAAATTCTTCAATAAAATACTATCAAATGGAATTCAATAGCACATTAGAAAGATTATCATGATCAGAAGAGGTTCACTCAAGAGATAAAGGCATGGTTGAAAATATACAAATCAATAAATATGACACCCACAACAGATTGAACTACAACGAGATGATCATTCTGATACAGAAAAAATGTGATAAAACTCAACATCATTTCATGATAAAAACACTGAACAAATTAGTTACAGGACTGTACTGCAATAGAACAAAGGCTATTTGTTGTAACTGAACAGTAACTGTTACACTGAATGCAGGGCAAGTGAAAGATTTTTCTCTAAGATTTGGGAAGAGGATGCCCACTTTTACTACTTTCATTTAGCATAATATTAGAATTCCTAGTCAGAGTAATCAAGCCAAAAACAAAAAGATTCATTGAAACTGAAAAGAAGTCCAATTATCATGTTTGCAAATGATATGATCTTTTTATATGTGGAAAACTGCAATGAGTCCACTAAATTACACTGGAACTAATTAATATATAAATTCTGCAAATTTGTAGGACATAAAAGCAACACAATTTGCCAACAGCAAATTATATGAATCAGAAATCATAATGTAGTTATATACACAATTGTTACAAAAAAATAAACTATGTAGGCAGACATTTACCTAAGCAGGAGAAAGATTTCCACATTGACAAGTACAAAACACTGATGAAATAAATTGAAAAGGTCACAAAATGGTAAAATATGTCCTGATCATTAACTAGAAGAACCTAATGTTAAAATGTCTCTACTACCTGAGATAGTAAAGGTGGATGGTTAATTTTAATTTTTTGACACCTCCCAAGAGAATAATAAAGCACACTTCTCAATATTTCTGGGTGGGTCATAGAAGCATGAGCTTAGAGTCTATGTATTCCCCTACTCTGCTTCCCAATCGTCATGAACTGAGCAGCTTTGTTCTGCCATCTCTTTTTGTCATATTTCTGCCATGGAGCCAGCCAACTTTGAATTGATTCTTCTGAAACCATGGGCCAAATAAACAATTTTTAGTGACTGTTGGGCATTTGGTTCCAGCAACAGCAAAGCCAACAAAGAGAACTGTAACTGAGAGTTGGGTCATTGATGCAACTGAACTGCGTATCCGACTAGGTAAATCAAAAGTGTTTGCAGCCGGTTTACAGGAAGAGCTTGGAAAAGTTTAGAGAATCAGGCTGGAACAAACTAAAAGGCTATAAGCAGAGCAGGTGAGGCAATTAAGACTAGAATAGTGAAAAGAATTCAGAAAGTAAAGCCAGGCTCATGAGGCTTCAGCTGGGAATAAGGAATCTTCTGAGAGTTACATTGGAGGCAATGCTTGATACCTCTGACAAAAAAATCAGGTACAGAGCTGTAGGAATAAGACTAAAAGTGCAGTGGTGATCCCAGGAAGTTGGAGATGCAAAATGTGGAAGGCTCAGTTTAAAGGATATTGACTAGGTAATCTGGTAGAAGAACTTTCAAGGTAGTTCAGCACTCAGACAGGGGTCCTGCTGTTTGCTTTTTGCCACATTTATAGTGAAAAATGAGAACAAAAGGAAGAGCAGAAAGATTTGAAAAACTTAAAATTTTGTCCCAAGAAGGGACATGTAAAATTGGTTGCTGAAGAAATCAGCATTAAGAAGAAACTAAGTACTTTGTTCAGCAGTTACTGTGAAAGGGAAAGGGTTCAAAGGAAAGGAAAAACATGAATAAGGAAAAGGACAAATGAAAGAAGGGAAAAAGATATATTTAGATATATATGCAGAATGCTTTGGATAGTCATACTGTCAATGTCTGCTGGTCTTTTGAAAGGAACAGTTAATGCTTATTTTTTTTACTTTGATTTTTTTCTCTTCCTCTTTTGAATTTCTTATAACTTCTTTGTTGTTTTATTTTTTTTTCTTTAAAAAAACTTACACATTTTTATCTGGTAATCTGAAGTAATTTGAAGACAGCATCATGTAATGGAGCAAATATTGTTGAATTCCTATTACTTTGTTTAGTGAAATATTGTATCATTTCTAATGCTGTTTTTTTTCTTCTATCATTATTTTGTACTCTTTAAAAAAATAAATAAATAAACATGACTTGAGGGCATCTCAGAAATCATTAAGACTTCTTCTCAGGTTCAAAGTGCAAAACTGTTAACCTGCTTGAGAAGATAGTCCTTCAGATATCTGCTTGATGGGAAGATCCTAATGAATTGGTTCACTGGGTTACATTTCAATGTACTCAGCCATTTTGGTACACACAGGCCACTAAAACAATGTTTGAAGAAGTAATTCCTGACTACTCCTTGGTGTTGTCCATGGGATACTGGTTTAATGGAATGCAGAACACACAGCTGTGGGATTAAGGAGGCTTCCTCCCATATTTAAATGGAGGATATTTCTGGGAGGAGAGTCAGAAAAGGAGCCTCTGAGAAGGCAGTGTATAGAGCTGTACGAATAAGACTAAAATTGCAGTGGTGATCCCAGGAAGTTAGAGATGCAAAATGTGGAATATCTGCAGATAAAAGATGTAGGCTGTGAATAAGGTCAACCAAAGTGATAGACCATGTGAGTTTTAACTGACAAGGCCATAGGGGTGTTACAGCAGAAGCCCTCTGGAATTCAAATCTCAATACTATGTACCCTAGATTCTGGACATGAAGCTATGAGACTTGATATTTCTCCTACTAGTTTTCACCCTTGTTTTAGTGACAGTATTTTCTATCTCCCACTTGTCTCTTTTTGAATATGAACACTTAAGCTATACCACTATACACTGTGATTATGTAAATCACTTTCAATTTTATAGGGCCGTACAGCAAAGATTATGCCATATTAGAAAAGGAATTGACTTGGATTTTTTATCAATGCCAGCTTTTTTAGACTTTGATGGACAGATTATTATGTTCCAGTTATATGTAGCATAGTTGTGAAATGTTAGGTAGAATTTTGACTTTGCATTCATTTATTTGGGGATTAAGTACTATTTAGTGAAATGCACTTGTATCTGAAGTTGACAAACGTTATGATGCGATGGTCAAAGCAGACTGTCAATTTGATTAGCTTGAGATTCCCACAGGGTAATAATGCCCTTCCAGGTATGTACAAGGAAGTCAGAGACATGGCCTTGGGTTCAAAATCCTTCATCCTTTTTACTCTATGGCACTGTTCCTCTTCTCTGCTTTTTTAGTATCATGAACTCAGTTTTGTTCCACCATGCCCTCTCCCATGACACTTCTGCTTTACAACCAGTTGACTATGACTAAACCCTCTGAAACATGGAGGCAAAATGTTTCTTCCTTTAGGTTGTGGATGTTGGTTATTTTATCCCAGCAATGGAAAGTCTGACCAGAATGGTACTCAAAGTGATCAAAAATTTTACTTAAAACACTCATCAAAATGCCATTGACATTCTTCAAAGAACTATAATGAAAGTTCTAAAATTGACAGGAATCTACCAAAAAAATCCAATAATCATAGGTAACTTGAACAAAATGACAAAGGAGGCATTATATTACCTGAGGGCAGAACATACTATAAAGCTGAAGGAATCAAAACAGTATGTTATTGGCATAGATGCAGACACACGGACCAATGGAACAGAGAGGAGAAAAAGTAAACTGATACATCTACAGCCACGAATGTTTGAGAAAGGTATGAAAAACATGCCATGTAAACAAAGAATTTTTAATGAATGGTGCTAGAAATATTATATTTATACAAGTTTTATGATATTAAACCCTCTCACCAATTATAAAAATTGACACAAACTGGATTAAAGACATAAATATAAAACTAGAACCTGAAAATATAGGGAAAATGTCTCAGAACAATGGGATGGGAAATAATCTTTTGGAAAACAATACCAAAGGTATAAGAAACAAAACTAAAAACAGACAAGTGGGCTTATAGAAAAATAAAAACTTTCTGCAAGCACATGAAAACAATAGTTTTGTTCAGATAAAACTACAGAATTGGAGACAAATTTGGCTAATTAGGTGTTGATATGCAGAATATAAAAATGGATTCTGAAAAGTTAATACCAAAAAACTGCTTTACAAATGGACAATAAATAGGAAATAAGGAGATGGCTTTTTTGAAAATGAGAACAGATCAAGAGCTAGATGGAGGAAGGTGAAGGGGCAGGAAAAGGTACTGGGTAATGAAGTCAGGATGGATTATATGTATGTACCAACTTCATATCATGAATATAATGATTATTTACTGCAAACATATACAAATAAAGAATAAAAATGGGCAACATATATACATACACATTTCTCAGATGAGACATATAAAGGGCCAAGAAGTTTATGTAAAAATGCTCATCACTGCTAGTTATTCAACCACAATAAGATAGTACCTCACCCCAGCAAAAATGCTTATTTTCAAAAATGTAAACATAATTGCTGGTGAGAATATTTTTTTAAAAAGGATATTTTGGATAGTGTTTGTAGAAATGTAAATTATATAAATCAGCCATTATGAAAATTAGTATGAAAGTACCTCAAAATATTAAAAACAAAATTACCCAGAATTCTCAATAGTGTATATACAATCAAAGGAAATTTAATCAGTGTGCTTAGGAGATTTCTGCACTCTCATGTTCATTGCAGCAGCATAAAAAACAGCCAGGAAATAAAAACAAAGTGGCCATCAACTGATGAACTGGTAAACAACATGTGTTACATATACACAGCAAAATACTGTTCAGCCTTAAGCAAAATATGAAATATCATCATTTAAAAATATTTATGGAACTGGAGATCACAAGTTCAAAACAGGGGCCGGGGAGATGGCTCAGTGGAATAAGCGCTTACCTGGCAAGCGCAAGGGCCTGAGTTCAATCCCCGGTTCCGCCAAAAAAAAAAAAAAAAACCAAAAAAGTGGAAAACACCCTACAAACATACAAGCAAACGCAAAGACTGCAACAAATAGGATTTCTCTCATGTATGTGCTAAAAGAGTTGACTCTCACAGAAGTCAAGAGTACAATGGTAAAAAAATAGAGTACAATGGTGACTACTAAAGACTGGGAAAAGGAGAGGAAGGTAAGAACTGGATACAGTAGATCAATGTATACAAAATTCCTTTACTAAGGAGAAAAATGTCCTGATTTACCACCATACAATAAGGTGACTATATATCAATAATATATTGTACATTTCAAAAACCTAAAAAACATTATTTTGAGTTTTCAATACTAAGAAATAAGTTTCAGAATACAGATACGTTAAATCTGATTTAAACATGACAGACATTTACATATACTAAAACATTACATTCTATCTCATAAACATGTAAATTTTGTTTTATATGAGTTAAAATACATTTTAAAAAACAGAAAATTATATGAAATCCACATATATATTTTAGAAAATGATTTCTTAAAAGCTCAAAGTCCCACAGTGCAAAAAAAAATACTAGGGATTTGCTACATATGAATCTCTAAATATTTAAATACATAAAACTTCCATTGATTTATTTAAATTACAACCAGTAACAGATTCAATCCCTGGTTCTGCCAAAAAACAAAACAAAAAAACCTCAATAACAGAGAGCTGGAGAGAAGAGGAAAGGTTGATCAATATGAACTCTACTTGAGTTAGGTAGAAGTCACAATTTGTGTTAGTCTATTGTATATCAGGATGATTAACAGTAATGTATTATATATATATGAAAAGAATATAAAAGTTATTGAAACTGTCCTAGCGATTTGATTTGAAACTGTCTCATTGCTATTTGTTTATCAATAAAATTATGAGGGAAAAAAAGGTATTTGAAAATTTACACTATAAATAATGACAAATATTTGAACAGACATAAATGCCTACCTTAGTTTAGGCAAAATGTAATGTATTTATGTATTGAACCATGATATAGCACCCTAGAAATATGCATTGATTTTTACGTGGCAGTAAAAATCAATACCATTTTTTAAAAGTAAATAGACAAAAATTGTCTAAGTATAACAATAATGGGGGAAAATTAGTTTTGTCTAGATAAGAAAAAGTGTAGAGAATCACTGTGAAAATAAAAAAGGGAATACAAGCAAACTAAAGGAAAATTCTTAATACCATGAAAAAGAAAAGAGCCAAGGCCAAGATATAGCTCAGGGGCACAACACTGCTTGCCTAACAAGCCAGAGGACCTGAGTTTGATTCTCAGTACGAAAAAAAAAAAAAAAAAAAGAGCCACTGTATGGTATGTTAATACTAATGGCTTATGATGCATTACATTCTTAAGATTATATAAAATGCATTTAAATATTGAGCACTGAAACTTTTTTCTACAAACAAGATTTAAAAAAACGATTCAGTCAATGAATGACTGCTTCCTACATCAGCCCTAAAAATTAAGAGATACATTTTTCCTTTTAAAATATTTTTAATACCATTGTCACACTGGATAAAAAAGTTTAGCTATGATTATTAATATATAAAATAGACAAAGCTACACTATAAAACAAAATGTTATTTCTTCTAAGAAAATCTTAAAAGTACAATACCTTTTTTTTAGAAAAACATCTATATATGAATTAACAGACTTTCTCAATGTTTCTGCTTTTATAGTCTCTCAACATTTAAAGAAATCTGTAGTAAAATACATACTTCCTAATAAATTCAGTATATGACAATGAAAATTCTGAAATTCAATACACTTTACATTCTTTATAATTCATTTACCCTAAGACTACCATATGCTTCATGCCTTTTCTCTTATTATCTCACATTCTCCATTCTAAAACATGGACATAATATTAACCATATATAACATGTAAATTACAAGCAAACTTGTTAAATGTTACCCACATCTTTCCTGCTTCAAAATAATCATCATGATATCAATAAAGATCTCACAGTAAATTAAAAAGAAAAGATTAAGTTTATCAGCAAGGCCCACAGATTGCAGTTTACTCAAATTTTTTGCTCATTTTAATTCATTTATAAACTTTCTACTTAACTTACATTCCAGTCAATATTTGCAAAAAATAGATGTCTTTTGATTTCCTCAACACCTTCTGAACCTATAAAAATAGAAGTAGTTTTTTACTGGCATTATTCTCTTTCAGTTGTGTTACCTGTCTTCTAGGCTTCATCTATAAATAGAACTACATGTATTTCAAATATCCTTTGAAGTGAGTTGTCTATAATTTGTCGGGCATTTTATCAATTTGTCTTTTTACTTTACTACCATCAAAAACTAATGTTCGGTTGGTACTGCATATTAGTATGAAATATTAAAATGCCTCCAATCTCAAACAGAACTCACATTCCACATAACCTGCAACATATTTTGTTTTCTTCATAATAAAGCTCATGATCTCTCTCTCTCTCTCTCTCTCTCTCTCTATATATATATATATATATATGTGTGTGTGTGTGTGTGTGTGTGTGTGTGTGTGTGTCAAATTAAAACATCAAATAATAAACTGATGCTGACATTTTAACACAAGCACTCATGTAAACTAACCAGATCACATTTAAATCTAGAAAAAGACTGTTGGAAAGCAGTCAAACAAGCAGTTTGGAGAACATAAAAGTTACTTTGAAACCTACTAGGAATGACAAAATATTTACCCTGTGTACTGACATGTAGTAACCGTGAATGATTAGTGATAAAAGATACAAAAGATATAAGATAATTATCTATAAAGGATTAAAATTTGTTTATTATTTCAAAGGACATAATCTATGTTAAATATGATCATACGTGGTAAAGGAAGTTTTGATAAGCTGAACTACTCCATTTTTTTGTTCCAGTACTAAAGAATGAAAGCAGGGCCTTCACATTGAATAGCATGGATGAACAAAAGGTACAGTATGCATTTAAATGTTTAAAAATTACAGAAAACACTGTCATTAGTCTCCCTCAAAACACTTTCTTTTGCTTCAAGCACACATATCACACCTTGATATTTCCTGAGGTTCTGAAAGTCCTATTCCATTAATATTTTTAGTTAGGCTATCATGCTTTCTGAATTTTCTGAACCCTAAAGTATTTTTGTTTCAAAGGCATTTTGACTTTGGGGCAGAGAAAGTATTCGCATGTTGCTAGATCCAGTGAATAAGGTGTATAAGGACATACTGTACTGATTTCAGAAGCCTTCCTCTCAGTTGGATGTCACCATGCAACAGCATTAACTGTACTTTTTTGTCATACCTCTTAAAAAGAGGAAAGAGGGCTTCCAGAACTGTTTCAGAAACTAGCAAGAGTAGTGGGATAAGTGTGCTCAAATCATATGTTAGTGTAGCTGAGAGCGTATTTTGAGAGGATTAATGATAATGTGTCTTTACTGCAATAACAAAACTTTAAAATGTAAACATCTATTGCATATTTTATGACCCCTCATACACCATAATCTTTTTTAAAATTTTATTTTGAGACAGCTTCTTACTATGTCACTACATTGCCAAGGCTCAACTCAAACTTGTGATGTTTTTGCCTCAGCCTCCTAAAGTGCTGGGATTATTGGTGTACCTGCTATATGTAACTAGATCACTCCATTTGAAAAATCAGTTTCATACCAGAGTTGACTGTTCCTGAACCACATATATAATATGCACAGTTCTGTGTACTGACATATAGTACCAGTAAATAAACTTAAATTGAAAAACAGTTATCCTCCCAAATATTCAGTACCATTATAAGAACTAAGAAAAGTAAAAAACAAACAAACAAACAAACAAACAAACAATACCCAATCTATTTGCTGGATTCCTTTTGAATAACATCCTCAGAAGGCTTTGTGCTTCACCACTGAGAAATTGAGGCATTCCAAGTTTTGCTCTGCAAAAGATGATTTTAGGAAGTCTCACTTAATTCTGGCTACATTTTTTAGTGAAGAAATATCAAACAGAGTATTTAAAAGTGATTTCCAATGGAAAATAATGTCCTCTATACAGTGGCAGAAGAGAAATGACAGTAAAAAAAATCGTTCTTTTGTCTCAACGTAAAACAATATGAAGTTTCTCACAACAGAAGACATTTTCCCCCCGAATAAAAATATACTGTTTACACTTACTTTAATATCATATTCATGGTCTCATTTCTGTCTTTGCCTTGAAAAGGCAGAGTACCAGTAAGCATTTCAAACTAAAAATAGAACAAAAGAAAATAATCACAATCAATTAAACACAGCTTAAAATATATAATGAAATTATTCAGAAAAAAATTTATATGAATACCACATGATCATCAAATCATACAGGGTATAGATAAGAATCAGCTAAATTGAGGTAACAAAACTAGGTTAGTTACAGAAACACATGTTTAATAGCCTGCTCTCTATAAATAGCTTAATAGATAGATGACCTGTAGCAAATGAAACCAAACAATTTTTAAAATTATAATTTGGCTAATTCTGGAAAATAAAAGAATTTGAAAATACAAGGCATTTTCCTTTAAAGCAGAGATATGCTTTGAAATAAAGTTTCCATAATAAGGGAAAATGTACAAAACAAATATTTAAAACTCTTACCTGCCTAAGAAGAATTTTGTCATTCTAACTGCTATTTACTCACCCAATGTACAGCAAGCAAAACAATGAGGAAAAGCAGAACAAATACTTATACGTGCACCTGTGTGTACTAACACTTTTAAAAAAGAAAAAAAAAAGAAATTTTTCCACAAAGCAGAAGGAAAATACCTTACCAGAGAGATGTACTGAGAACTACATGATAAAATAATGATGTATAAAGTAGGTCTAAAACATTACCTACAGTTCATTTAAGAGTTTTCATATCCCTAAAATTTAAATTTCAAATTGGACTTAATGATTTTACCCTGAATGGCTACACTCAAAATCTCAGCTTATCTCCTATACCCTGATGACTCTAAATCTGCTGTGTCAGTCTTTATCTTTCCCAAACTACAGCATTTCCTCTCAAATAGGACTGGTGGAGGAGCTGGGAGAGGCAGAAACACAACAGAAAAGGATAGTACTTTGAAATTCTGTCTTTCATAGTTCAAGTTCAGTAGTTGAGTAGGGCAGGGAGAGACACAGACAAATATATGTGGATGTATATTAAATAAATTGTTAAATGGTTCTGATTTTTGCTCTACTGCTGCATGTAATTTATCAGCACCAAAGGCCTAGCCATTAACCTATAGCAGAACTGTGTTTGCAAGCCCCTGTCTCAAAAGACAAAAAACAAAATAAATAAATAAATAAATAAATAAATAAAATTCTTTTCCTACTAGCTATTATTATCTAGTTCATTTCTATTTATCTATACTTTCAAACTGATAAATTCCATAATTTTTAGAGAATCTTTATCATCAACTCACCTGATTTTTATATATAATTATGTATAATTTGCAGCTAAAATTGTTTTTCTTTGAAAAGTCTTCAAGGTTTCCTTTTTAAATAAAGTTTTACAATGATAAAATTATCTCCTAGATCACTTCAGTCTTCCTATTTCTAGTTTCTTCCATTTCCAATCTCTATATAATGCCGCCAAGTCTAACCTTCTAAAAATGTACTTTTTCTTGAATGATCCTATTTAAAAATCTATAATGCCAAGAGAAAAATCAGAAGCATATATTTGTAGTTTTATAACTTCAGTTCTTCCACATCCAAACTCATCCTTTACTATTCAAAACAAATTAGCTCTCTAAGCCTTTGCTAATATATGATCACAATACTCTCTACCTCCACATGCAACTACAGAGCTTGCAACTTTTCTTTTTCCGGAAAATAAAATTAGCATGATTTTGTTCAACAGATGGTATTACCTTTATATGGAGGGCTCTAGAGAATGTCATATCAAAAAAGCCTACTACACTGCTGGCCTTAGACAGCAAATTGAAAATAGGCAGCAATCTCAGTGACCAAGGTTACCCAAGCAGTCTTTCACCATACTAATACATGTCTGGAAGCAAATGACCACTATTTTGAGCACCTCTTGTATTGTAGAGGCCAGAGATTAATTGTATTAATCTTGTGAAAACTCAATAAATGTAGTATTAAAATACTTACATAAGATTATATTTTCCATAGATTGTTCTGGTGGAATCTGTATTTACATTTTATCTACCCTTATGTTTCACCTCCTCTAATTTCCTTATGTAATTTCATGAAATCTACTCTAAACACCTTACATACTTCTGAACAGGTTAGCCATGATAATCATTTCCCCAACCAGACTGTACATGATTTTGGTTACAGAAAATACAAAATGTTCGACTATTCATGAATTTCTACTGCACTGCCCTGCAGCAATGTCCATATTTTAATGAATGGATGTGTCATGAGGTATCATTAAGTGATAAGTAAATCAAACATATTATCAGATTTCTTTTTATTATCTTATGTACTACTACAAATTCTGTACTTAATCTCATACTAGTTAATCTACTTAAGTAAGCATTTACTGAACAGTCACTACAATAATGACTGTAAGAGACAAAAAGTAATATAATACATAATTTCTGTCTTCAAGAAGATTATAATCTTTCTGGTTCATACCCAAAATAAAAAAAAACTATAAGATAATACATGTTATGGTGATAAATATCATGCCATCTAATTAAAATGTCTTGTAACTGCTATACTCTACATTCCAAAACCTAGAATTTGCCCAACATTTCTCTAACTTTCAAGTATGAATTGGTTATATAGTGATGATGCAATTTACTTTTTTAGTAGCCACTTTATAAATATAGAACTAGAGAATACTAATTGTTATATATCATCTATGCAAAATTTTAAAATGTTAATAATATGAGAAGTCCTTTTTAACTGGTACATTCCAAAATTTAAATTAAAAAAATTAGAGTAATAGTAATATATGTTAGCATAATGAAGAAATGTATTACTTACCATTAGTACACCATATGACCACCAATCAGCACTCTGAGAATGACCTCTCCTATTTACTACTTCAGGAGCCATATACTCTACTGTACCACAAAATGAATACGCCTTCTTTTCTTGATCTACTGACTCCTTGCTGAGTCCGAAATCTACAACAGCATTAAAAAAAAATATATATATATATATATATATATATATATATATATACACACACACACACACACACTGAAAAAGTTCAGGAAATATTGCAAAAAAACAAATACTGGCTAGACACTAATACAATTTATGGATGACCTCTAATTACTCTTAAAACTGATATAACTAGTAACAAGCAGCCTTTACCTCACATTAGTTTTCTTTAGGAGTATTTAAAGATTGCTTACTTAAATTTAATCCTCAAGATACATGCTTTCAGGCATATACTAAAAAATTATACAACAAATTTGAAGAAACAACATGTCTAAGCTTCATACTGGGCTAAACTTCCAAACAATATGAAAAAAAGAGAGCTAGTAATTCAGTTTTAAAGGACAGAATTCTACTATTTGTGTCATGAAACCTTTAATCCAAACTACTCAGAAGGCTGAGGCAAGAAGACTGAATGTTTAAATCTAGCCTGAATAACTTAGGGAGACTTATGTCTCGAAAACAAAAAAATTCAGAAACGGTTGATGTGATAGCTCAATAGTAGAGCAATTGTATAGTCTGTACAAGACTCTGGTACATAAAATGCACAGTAATTTCTGCTATAACTTGTTTTAAAAATGAAAATTGGTTACAATTCAATAAATATAATAGGAAATTAACTGAGCACAACATGAATTTCACATTTTAGTCTGAAAAAAACAAGGAAAACACAGAACACAATACTTAGTTGAGTTTGGCACTGTATAAATACATAAAATCACACGACACACTTCAAATACCTATCAGTTATCTCACTTCATCATGGTTGTTATAAACCACTAGCATGAATCATTAGCGTCACCACTTTCTTTTAAGATAATCTACATTCATCTATATCATTTTATTTTATAAATGAAAACTTTTCTTACAAACATCTTTTTTTGTGTGTAGTACCAGGTATTGAACTCAGGACCTTATGCTTGCCACATCAGCACTTATGCCACTGAGCTATATCCCCAGCTCTGACACACATCTAAGAACAAACTTTGGGTATTTTTCAAGGCAAGGTAATATTTATAGTAGTCTTTCTGTATTTAATTTTTTTTTCCATAACCAGGGATTAAACTTAGGCACTTATTGCACTTAGCCATTTCCTCAGCTCCTGTATTTCATTTAACAAAAAGAATAAAAAGTACAATAAAAATGATACAGAATTTGAAAACAAGATGATAGGAAATTAACAATGGTTGTACACTGTTCAAGTAACTGTTGATATTGCCAGATGCAAGGATGAAAAATTGATCAAACAATTAAGTACTGGGCTGGCAAGATAGCTCAGCGGACTAAGCGCCTGCTTAGGCAAGCACAGGGACTGGGGTTCAATCTCCGGCACCACATGCCACACCAGTCCTGCCCCCGGGCATAATGAGCTGGCCACTGAGTCCAGGCATGGAGATGCATGCCTGTAATCCCAGCACTGGGGAGACTGTAAACAGGAGGATCACTATGAGTCCAAGCTGTGTAGGGAGACCATATACCAAATACCTTCAAAAGTAAATTTTAAAAAATTATTAACTGTCCCTTTCAATAAACAAAGACATAAGAAGTACAATCATTTTAGCAATCATATATA